AACTGTTAAATACATTAATTTTTCATGTGAATACATGACATTGCACACCTTAAAAGAAATTTTTAAAGTGTGTTATTTGGGTGCCTTCTATATACTGAGTAGTTTTGAAGTTATTTGCTTATTAGCAGCATCTACTTGCATGATAATTTTTTTTAATATTCAGAATTTTTAACATTTGTAACTGTTATCTATTCCAGAAATCAGATTATTTCTGCTAGAATCTGATAACCTAGAACATAACTACAAAGTCTAAAATATACTCAAAAGCCACAGTCATAGAGCCTATTCTGATCCATAATAGTCCTATGGGTGCTTCCCAAGGTTTGTGAATTCCTACAGGAGCACAAAGCCTTACATTTCTCCCAAAGAGTTTCATGTGTTTGACCCACTTTTTGCATGTCAGCATTGTATTCACTTCATCTCCATTAGCAATAGCATCTAAAGGATTTTTTCCTAAATATAAACATCTCTCTGAAGAACCATGCCATAAAATAAAATGTTGCAAGACAGTATACATAGTTATTATTTACATAAAATATATATCTAATTTCAATCAGAAAAGATTTGATAAGGTTTACAATTATACATAAAATAAGAGACAGAGCACAGAATCAAAGACTTAGAACCATGTAAATTGTGTAGTTAAACTTTACGGTTACTCTAAGGGGAAAATGAGAGAATATATCAAGGCTCTTGATACCTTAAGAAATCAAGCAAAAAGTTACGTTGTTTCTTTTGTTTCCATATTCTAACATAATAGTTTATCATGTCAATTCTTATGAAAGAAAAAGCCATATCACAAGAGACATTATTTTCAACTGAGTTTTTATAGATTTGGTGGTAAAATATTGAGCTTTCTGTGGATAAGTGTTTTCCACACACACACAAAATCTGATTCCAATTAAATATCTAGATGAATGTTCAAGTAAAACTCTGAAGTTTTGATTTATAGTATTTGACCCAGAACATTTTGGAAAGGATACATTAAACACATTTAGCCATCTATGTGAGGTGTTAGGTAAGTCCAGAAGGAAGGAGCACACCAGCTCATCAACTCATGTGATCCAACGATTGTAGATAATAAAATGCAAGACCAGAGGAGGGAATTGTGTTACAGCTTAAGTTCTAGGCACCGGTTTGCAGAAGGCTTTGAGGAACAGTGAAAGCCTAAAGTCTATTTGCAACTTCCATGCAGATTAAGCCTACATTGAACCCCCTCAAACTATTGGCTAAGGTTATGAATAGTCTTGCCCTCAGACAGTTCATTGGAAAGTGGATTATGGAAGATATGGTTAAATTAAAATTTAACATATTATCATTGCTTTCCCTTTGAACCACTTTTACTTTGTTCTTGTTTCTATTATCTTCTGCTTTCATTTGGATTGAAGTTTTTCTGTGTTTTATATTGTTGTCATTGTTGGGGATTGTTGGATGATTTCCTTTATATGAAATCCAGGATAGGTATAGCTATAAATACTGTAACTGAATTAATAGTTCTTTAGGGTTATGGCAGGGGAGCTTGGAGGAGTGGCTTTCAGTTTTGAACTGCTGCCTTGCAGTTAACAGCCCAGGGTGCAACCTCTCCAACCTCCACAGCCCAGGGTGCTCCTGCCAAGCCTTCAAATGCCAACTGCAAGCTTGAGGGGACCCACAACACTCAGTTCTAACTTGTTCCCATCCACTAATCCCTTGGGTTGAGTATTGTGCTGGAACAACTCTTGGAAAGCTTTATAGTTATGATTACCATTGTGTTACAGCAAAAAAGGTAGTAAGTAGAGACCTACAAGCTCAGGCCTGGGAGGATTCCATTACAGAATTTTCCAGTCCCAGTAGAGAGTACCCTACTCTCCTAAATGCACTCAGGCCTTCCCCAGCCCTGGAGCCATGGCGTTTCCATAGCCAGCCCCTTCTTTATCAGGACCACCTTATGTAGGCAAGAGAAATGGGTCACGCCCTCCTTTTTCCCAAGGTCAACAGGTAGCATATGGTGGTCTCTCTGGCCTGGCCAATTATACTTCAGACACTTCCTTAGGTCTGCAAACCTCATCCAGACATTTCAATCACTAGGGTAATTCTCAAGATTTTAGAAATTATCTCTCAGGAATCAAAGATCAAAATCTTTGGGGAAAGTTGAATATAAACCTCACAAATATGTGAGAAATCTTTACATTCGTTTCTCAAACGTTATAAATTTCCTTTTAACATTCTTAAGAATGCCTTTGTTTATGTCATAAAAGTAACTTAGGTGGTGTGAGGGAACGGAGACAGAAAAGGAGGATTCATGCACCTTCTTTGCTTTATCAAAGCACATGTTTGTGAGCCAGATTCCAGCTGTTTGGAAATCAAGGGACAATTTAGACCTCTGTAATCTTTTGCAATTTGGAGCGAGGAGAGCGTCTTGTATTACACATTGGCAATGCAATGTTAACATTCTTGTTACCGCCCTGGAGTCCTGATAGATGGGAAAAGATGTGCTATTATTTCAGCTTCTTTAACTCTAGATTCACAGTTTTTAGGGAAATTAGCAACAAGAAATTGAAGATGAATGTGAGCACTTTTAACTATACTCAAATATATTTGAAAAACTCATTTAACCTCCAAATGCCCCATATGGTAGTATGTTAAAAAAAAAATCATGATCTAATTGTAAATGACCATGACCAAGTAATATTTCCTTCAACTAAGCAACTTTTTCCTAGAGCAAGGCTAATTTCCATCTAATATTTTTTGTCAAAGTAGTATTGTCAAAACAATGCCAATTCCAGTTTGAAAGAGCCTAAGCTGATTGACACTTAATAGATGGCTAGACTGGGTACATTTCAAAAATCTGACAAATTAAAAAGTCATATCTGATTAATATGTATATATTTTAAGGAGGATTACCTTATTGAAAAGTCAGGTGGGGCTTATTAGATAATAAATTTGTTTTATTTATATCCCTGTTATTAAATGGAAGCAGTGTGGGAAGTTCCAAAGTTAATATTTATTAATTTATGAGGAAGAAATAATCCCAAACTCTTAAACATGAAACTTTAAGAAATTCACTATTTAAAGATAGTGTCTCTTGAAATCTAATTATTATACACTGATGATTAACAGGTAACCTTCATACCCTGTAGGTGGCATGTTAAGTTCAAGAGGACTTTTGGGCCAATGAAACATCTGCTCCAGGGAGCCCTGGAGATCAGGAAAAGCTGCCAATTTCAGCTGGGAGTTGTGGGTGCCCAGAGAGTTTTATTCACTTTCAAAGAGTGGATCAACTCCCAGAGTTAAACATCGGCTGAGGCACAACCCTAATATTTCCCACATCCTCTCAGCGATTTGAATAAGCATTAAAAAAAAAAAGAGTTCAGTAGCTATGTGGCTTTGGTTGGATGCTTTAAATAGCACTGGATCAGTTTCAGAGGAGTTTCTAGACATGAATTGAAACTGACTTAATGGCAACTAGATCCAGACTAAGACTGTCTGCTGCATGTTCCTGGAAATCTAAAATTGTTCTCTAACAACAAAAGAAGGTGTATTGATTTTTTTTGAAAGTGACATTGATATGATATGTGTTCCTTTATGCAAATTTTTCTATTTTCAAGTGTTCATTGTATAAAACATATTGGACCATATGAGAACATGGACCTTTTAACTGAGCTCATGTAGTAGAGCAGAGGTTAAGACTTCAAGACTTGTATGGACAGGACACTACTGAGGCAAGACTACCCAACTGCATGGCAGAGTAACTCTCTCGGTAACATCCCATATTGTTGGTAACAACTTTCCCAAACTGAGGGGTGAGTCGCAGTCACTGGTTCCACCTCTAAACTAAGCAGCATCAGCATGTGAGATGCACATCAAGTATCTACTCCTCCTGAACCATGTGCAGAACAACCACGCCACCACTAACCCAGCCTTCATTATGGTGGTGTACAACTTCATTATGGTGTACAACAGCTTCATGTATGGCCATGTGTCACCTCTCCAGATTTTGTTGGGCTCCTGTGGGAAATAATGCCAGAAGGCAGAATTTATGTCTAACATTGTGTTCTTAGTGTTCCTATCCTTTCTCGTCCTAGGCATGTGATCATGGAAAATGCCATTCCCTCAATGTACAGATAGATTTCAGGGAAAAAAATGTTTAAAGATCAAAGCTATCTCTTTTTTCTTTCAGTTTCCACAAAATTGTCGTCACCTCTGATTTGAACTGAAACACCTTACAAATGCTGGTCATTGTATTGTCTAGGTTTCTCTGAGCGCTGTTTTAAATAGAGCAATATTTAGAGTGAGTTTAGATGATGTCACATTTTCCCTATGCTGTTCCTTCTTCCCAGGAGTTGTAGTGACAGAGCAGGCTAAGTGTTGGACTTAAAAAACCAATCCCACTGCCCTTGAGTCTGTGGCGACTCATAATGACACCCCTGTGGGTTTCCAAGACCGTAACTGTTGACCTGCGTGGAAAGCCCAGCCTGTCTCCAATGGAGTAGCTGGTGGTTTAGAAATGTAGACCATACAGATCACACACCAGCTGTAACCACCATACCACCAGGACCACTAACCACAAAAATCAGTTGTTCAAAAGAAGAGGCTGTTATTTCCTATAAAGATTTACCATCTTGGAAATATTAATGAGCAGTTCTGCCCTGCTGCACAGAGTCAGTCGGGGTTGAAACTGACTCAGTAGCAGTCAGTTTACTTTAGTTGTTCAAGACCATATATCAACAGAAGTTTTAAGTGTGTCCTTAAATGGCAAACACTGGTATGAAAACAAATACAATTTTAAAAGAGCACATATAGACTGCTTTGACATTTTAAAAAGTAATTATATCCCAAAAGGTATATAAAAACTAAGGTGTTAACAACGCCTGCCTCTTAATGTAACAAGCAGGCTATTAGATATGCTTCTTTGACATTGAGTCCACTGACTGCCTTCAGTCTGCTGGATCTTGGTATTACTAACATGAGCTCAGATTTCCCCCAAGTGATGGCTACTATGTTTCCTCTTCCAATCCCAGGAGAGGTCACAGGGCATTAAAGCATGGCAGATGATCGGAAAGATGAAGCAAAGGCTCCTCACTGGACCTCAACTCAACTAGAGGCATCTGCGCATCCGCATCCACCTGAGATTAAGGATCAAGGCGGAGCCGGGGAAGGCCTTGTCCGAAGTGCTAACGGATTCCCTTACAGAGAGGACGGAGAGGGCACCTTTGGAGAGCATGGGACACAGGGCACCTACTCAAATACCAAAGAGAACGGGATCAATGGAGAACTGACCTCAGCTGACCGAGAAACAGCAGGTAACTAAGGGTGGTTCTGTCCCCAACGATTGTGTTGTACTTTGAAGTCAGTTTTGTGTAAACTTAATTATCGACAGCTCTGATCCTGGCACTAAGACTGAAATTCACACCAAAGGGCGGGGGTGGGGTGGGGGGAGCAGGGGTCCTAGCTTGGCATTTCTCCAAATTCCTTGCCTGCTCAAACCCATCTTCCCATTAAAGTTTGAACTTTTAAAATTTGACAGACAGATACATGTATTTGTGTTTGTCTACTTTACTATCAGCATCTTAACTCATTAAAAAACGATTAGAAAGGATATCTTTGAGATGCAAGGAGAATTAAGGAAATGAAGTTGGTCTTAAGTCCATTTGATTGATAAGATTCATTTGTGACATACAAATGAGGCATACAGAATCCACACACCCGCCTCAGAAATGAAGGGAGGGAGGGAAAGAACAAGAAAGAGAAAGATGAAGATAGACACGCATACCCAGGACTCATTTCATACTTCCTCCGCAGCTTTACAATAAATGATACACAGATTCAAAGTCAAATAGAACTTTCCTTTGTGTGCTTTTTCCAAGCTGTGGTTCCTAACAGTAGCTCTCTTTCTTGTTCTTCTGACAACGTTGCCATCAGTGATCCAGCACTGGTAGCATAGAGAAGCAGTAGCCTCTAGTTTTCTATACCACTCCGTCCCTCTCTGTAATTCAGAATTCCATGGATGCGAATTCAGTAGCTTGCAGGCAGACACCAAATCCACTGTCAAGTCCACTCTGACTCAGGTTGACTCGAGGACAGAGTAGCTCTTCCATAGGGTGTCAAGGCTGTGAATCTTTGTGGAAGCAGACTGCCACGTTTTTCTCCCGCAGAGCTACCGGTGGGTTCAAAGCACTGGTCTTTACGTTATCGGTCAGGTGTTTAACCACTGTACATGCTACCCTGAAAAGTGTAAGTCGAAAGTCCATCTCCTCTTCCAAGACCAACTGTCTACATTGTCTACATTGTAGCAGCAAGTCAGCAACATTTAATCCACTGCACTGTTCAAAAATAAATGTATTTTCATAGAGAAATAAGAAAGGTGTATCCGTTGACTAAGAAGAAATAATCATTAATCAACATACTTACCTGTTGAGCATTTCTACATACCAGGTCACAGGTTAGGGTCTCTCCAGGGTGTGTCCAAGGAATGGTAACTGAATTTAAAAGGTCATGTCTTTGCTGGGTTAGGGTTTCAGCATTGCTGCGATAAAAGGCAAACACTATGCAGAAACGCACATCAAACAAAACTAGTGATACCCTAGTCCAGCAGTTCTCAACCTGCGGGTGGTCACGACCCCTTTAGGGGTCAAACGACCCTTTCACAGGGGTCGCCCGATTCATAACCATAGCAAAATGACAGTGATGAAGTAGCGACGGAAATAATATTATGGTTGGGGGTCACCACCACATGAGGAACTGTCTGAAAGGGTCGCAGCACTAGGAAGGTTGAGAACCGCTGCCCTAGTCTGATCCCAGGCTTATGAGAGGTTGTACAGGTCCCCAATAATTAGATCGATCCGTTTACCTTTCATAACTAGTAACTGAGCCAGTACAGAGTCCAAAGTGAGTAGGGGACTAAATGGCAGCTGTTAATTATCATTATGATTATTATTGATGGTGGCAGTGTCTATACGGACAACGGGGCACTCTTACAAGAATATCAAGGGGAAAAAAACACTACAGTATACTCCATCGATCGAGCCATAACTAACAGCATTCACTATTTAACGTTTTCAATGGTCGTAATGATTTTGGAACATCAAGTAAACCTGCTTGTCAGGTCAGTGTGTCCTTGCCAGCTTTGTCGCATAAAGCTTTTCCCAGTGGGTCAGCTTTCCTGCTGTCCCGTGTGCCCGGGCCGTGAGTGGTTGGAGCCAGAGACCGCTCTCTTCTGCATTCCTCTTTGTTATAGCCCTTTCTTCTTTTTCAGAAACACATCTTTTCATTATCAAGGTGATTGTTCTTTTTTAAAAGTAATTAATCACAGGATCAAAGGGTGCATTAATTACTGTCATCACATCTCTCTCTCCCCTTCCTCCTTCATCAGAGTGAGATTTGCATGGGTCTTGCTTCTAGTGCAGTTTTTTCAATGTTCACCTTCATTTCTGGGCCATGATAATTTTTTTTTTAACTGCAAGATCCAAAGTCAGTTTCTCCTTAGAATTGTTCCCAAAACCTAAAGCTCTAAATGCTCTGGAAGGCAGTATTTTAAATTGTATGTCTTACAGCTTATTCTATGTTTTGCCTCTTTCCTTATCATTTAATGATAGTCTATGGAAGGTAGATAGAGTTATTTTCTTACCTATAGCATCATTTTGATGCTTTAAGATTGTTTCCCTAACTGAATTCACTACCAAAGAGTCAATTCCAACTCATAGGAAACCCTATAGAACAGGATTGAGCTACCTTTGTGGGTTTCTAAGACTAACTCTTTATAGGATTAGAAAACATCATCTCTCTTCCACAGGTGGTTTTGAACTGCCAACCTTGCAGGTAACAGCCTTATGTGTAACCCACTATGCCACCAGGCCTCGTTTACTTCCTAAAGAACTCTTTAAAAAAGCCATGCTGCACTCATGAAAAAGAGAGAGAGAGAGAGAGAAACCATTGAAAATCTTATGATTTGGGAAAGTTATTATAATAAGACAAAAGCAGTCATTTAAAAATGATTTCCCAGAGAGTGAATAGCTAGAATATTGGTGGTAATAATCCTTCTTTCCTCTCCTCCCCACCCCCTATGCTTATTGGCAAAAGCAAGAGGAATTATCTTGATCCTAACAGAATTTCATATCTGAGTGACAGTTAAGATCCTGATCTTTCACTTTCTTAACTGGGAGCGGGACCCCAATTCAGATTAGAATTCATACCAAAAGTATAGCGTGTGGCTTGTACATTAGCAGAAGGGCTGATAAGTTTGTAAAAATATGAGTGAAAGCTTACTTTCTCACTCACTGCCATTGAATCGATTAAGTCCTGCAGGACAGGGTTGAACTGACCCTGTGAATTTCTGAGACTGTAACTGTTATAAGAGTACACAGTCTTTTCTTTCTCCTTCAGATCAGCTAGTGATTTTGAACTGCTAGTCTCATGGTTGGCAGTCCAATGTATAACCACTATCCCATGAGGACACCTAAGAAATTACTTTAGAAAGTGGAAAACATTCTTTAAGTATTTAATATCATATTATACCAAACTCTTACCCCTACCGGGCCAATGTATAGACTCCTTGTGAAAGGAGTGCAGAAACAAGAGTCTGCAGCGTGGAAGTTTTGTGCTCTGACCTTGTTCTGATATCCTCTTCAATTAAGTTGCTCAAAAAAAAAAAATGTTGGCAGTTCAAACTAGCCAGCTGCTCTGTAGGACAAAGGTGAGGCTGTCTGTTCCTGTGAAGATTTACAGTTTTGGGGACTCAGTAACAGGTCACTGTGAGTCAGAGTCTACACAGTGGCAACTGGTTTAGCAAGGAAAAGATTTTTTAATTCTCACCCATCCTCGCATCATTGGAAAGGCGATTATGTAAACATGTGTACAACTCAGTCTTGTGAAATATTGGATGCACAGCCTCAAACACTTGCACAGGCCCCTCACATTGTGATATCCCTTCCTCTGCTAAGGACCTCTGCGGGGATGCTATGAGCTTCATTTCACAATTGAGAAGCCGGAGGCATAAAATGACCAATGCCCCGGGTCAAACAGAATGAAAAAGGAAGGAGCTGAATTGGGCGCACTGTGCTTATAAATTCTGTCCAGCTATTCTGAAATGTCCTACCATTAGGAGGCAGTGTGGGGATCTCCCTCTGCAAGCATTCTCCCCATTATGAGCAAAATCTGTTCCTACATGTGTCTTGAGGTCTAATGCGTAGTTAAGTGGGAGCAAGTGCACACGTTTTTTTATTTAGCATTATTTAGGACCAAGTCTTTTCGACGATTAAAAACTGTTCAAGTGAAGGAGGTTGTGATAAGGATTTGTTGCGAGCAGGGGTTGGTTCCATCTGTTACAATTAAATAAATAAGCCAAGTTCACTGCCTTCAAGTCTATGCCAACCCTTAGCAACCCTAAAGAAGATAGCAGCACGGCCTCTGTGCGTTTCTGAGACTGTCACTCTTTACGGCGGCAGTAAAAAAGCCCCAAATGTATAAAACATTAAAGGGCAGTGGGAGACGTCTATATGGTGGAAGCTCATAGCCCTGGGACCTGCTGTGGTTTCTCCTTTATTTGGTTTTAGAAACCTGCTGCTGATTATAAAATCGTTCAGACTCGTCTTGATGAGAGTATGCATCTGTGATTGTCGGGATTTATTCTTCATTAGAAACAGACAAAAATCAGCTTGTTCGCAACCCTGTCCTCATTAAGGATCATCTCTAGAAGATGGCCTTTTACAGCCCTCCTCTCCACAGGCTTAGCTAACCATCCAAGGTCCCATGGCATCTCCCTCCCAGACGCCAGCTCTCCCCTCGTTCCACTCCCCAACCCGGACAGCTTCAGCACAGACCCGCGGCTGCAGCAGACAGAAGTCAGAACCAGAGCGGCCAAGCCTGCGGCTCATGCCGCATCCAGATTGACGGGCCTGTCGGCATGACGGGATAGGAGAACTGTCTTCCTGATGGGTCCCCATTTTCAGCATGCGTAGAGAAACAAAAGAGGTGACGGTGAGAGGTTCAAAGATGCCAAAGCCTTAGATCCGGTTTTGGTGATGTCCCCTATTCTATCGACGGCCCTGTGCTTGCGACGCGAGCAACAAGCATGGCCCCTGTATAAAGTGCCTAAGTGTTAGAGAACTCGCAGTAAATGTGGCACTTGAATGGGCATTTCTTCAGTTGACTCCCAATGCTTCCCAAGAATCCCTTTGTTTCCCAACATTCCCGGCCACGCTCTCTGTCCAGGTCTCATTTGTGTGAGCTGCCAGCTGGCCAGCGCCACTCACAGTGGCCCCATGTCCAAGGAATAAAGCATGCTCAGTCCTCCCCCATCTTTGGC